GTCCTGAAGACCTGTGCCGTTCAGCTGTCTGATGTCCTGCAACACCTCTTTAACCTGAGCCTGATGCAGGAGGAAGTCCCGGTGCTGTGGAAGACGTCGTGCCTGGTTCCTGTACCAAAAAAGATGACACCATCTAGCCTCAATGACTACTGACCAGTTGCCCTCACATCTCATGTGATGAAGGTGCTGGTCTTGGCCCACCTCCGTCCGCAGGTGAAATCATCACTGGACCCTCTGCAATTTGCGTACCAGCCTCATGTGGGGGTGGACGACGCCATCATCTACCTGCTGCAACGAGCTCAGTCGCACCTGGATGGAACCGGTGGCTCTGTGAGAATCACTTTCTTTGATTTCTCCAGTGCATTTAACACCATCCAACCAGTGCTGCTGAGTGAGAAGCTGCGGGTGGTGGGGGTTAACGCGTCCACCGTCTCCTGGATCACTGACTACCTCACGGGCAGACCACAGTTTGTCCGACTGGGCCGTGTGCTGTCTGATGTGGTGGTCAGTGATATTGGAGCCCCACAGGGAACTGTTCTGTCTCCCTTCCTGTTCACCTTGTACACCACTGACTTCCATTACAACTCTGGGTCATGCCATCTGCAGAAGTTCTCTGATGACTGCAGTGGTCGGGTGTATAAGGGACGGACGGGAGGAGGAGTACAGGGCAGTAGTGGATGACTTTGTGGAGTGGGCCGGTAGAAATCACCTGTGTCTGAACGTGGCCAAGACCAGAGAGATGGTGGTCGACTTCAGGAGGAAGACGACAACTCCACAAACGCTGAGAGTTCTGGGAGAGGATGTGGACATGGTGGAGGAGTACAAGTACCTGGGTGTCTCCATCGACAGCAGACTGAACTGGAAGACCAACATCAACGCTGTGTACAAGAAGGGGATGCGTCAACTCTTTTTCTTGAGGAAACTTCGATCCTTCAATGTGTGCAGCAAGATGCTGGAGATGTTCTACCAGTCTGTTGTGGCCAGTGCACTGTACTTCGCCGTAGTCTGCTGGGGGAGCAGCATTGGAGCCGGAGACACCAACAGACTGAACAAACTTGTTAAGAAGGCCGGCTCCATCATTGGTTGTAAACAAGACTCTGGAACAGGTGGTGGAGAGGAGGACACTGAAGAAACTATTATCCATATTGGATAACCCGGACCACCCTCTCCACCACCTACTGCTAGGACAGCGGAGCACTTTCTCCAACAGACTGATCCAGCTCCGTTGTCACAAGGACCGATACAGGAGAACATTCCTGCCCTCTGCTATTAGACTGTACAATAAATCACCCCTGGCCAAATCAAACACAAGACTATAACACTGCTAACTGTTGTTGTTTGCTGTTGGTGATCCTTGCACTACTGTTTTTTACCTAGTTAGTTAACTTAATACCATTCTATTTTATTGTACATACTGTGCAGTTTTTATTTTATTATATTCTGCTCTTATCTTATTGTATTGTACATATTGAGCATCTTTCATATTTTTATGTTTACTCTGTAACTTTGCTTGCTGCTGCTACAAACAAATTTCCCCCAGGGGATGAATAAAGTATACATCTATCTGTCTATCTATCTATCATCACCTCAGCCGAAAACGTGTTGGAATACGAAGAGTGATGACTGGGAGTTGCACAACCACTGTTTGCAAACAATAAGAAGCTGTACCTGGAGGGACCCAGGAGAATGTAGGTGGAGGAAACAGGAAGTGACGGAAGACATGCCACACAAACAGCTGCTCACCGCTCACTGGCCCGTTGGCCGGCCGGTTCTTGTGTTAGTTTTTGGAGTTAATTAATTAATGCGTTAACTAATTAATTAATGCACATTTTCAAAGTAAAAGACTTTGAAGTTATTTGTTTTGTAACATAGTGGACTAACATGCATGTATACTATCTGCTTTATCACAGTCTAATACAAGGATTGCCCAGCATCAGCTAATACCAGGACCTGGACCACAACACATGTGACAGATGCATAGTTTCTACTATATGTTGTAAAGGGAATTTGGCTCGTAGGTTAGAGGATATAACTCGTCTCAGATCCTCCTGTGAGGTCCTGATTGTAGAATCCGACATTGCCTTGCTGCTGTTTTTCAACACACTGTTAAATTACTCAGTGTGAAAGCACAGGTTGAAGAGGCTCACCTTATGTGTTACAGACAGCGGAACCCAAACTCTCAACTGCTTGAAGTCAGAATTACTCCGCTTTTGACCTTTAGCCGTATTAAGCAGCGAGCTTCTCTTCACAGTTGAGTCTGGGACATTCATGGGACACTGTATATGTGGCTGCTGTTAACACACACAGGCGTGATTCATTTTCCCACTTCCCCATTCTGTCTTCTTCGTTAGTATTTGAACTGTAGAGACCCAGCAGCTTTGTTGAGTTGTATCGTCGTGACGGCCGTTCCAAACTGAAGTGACTAATTGTCACATGCAGTATAATCCCTGTGTATGTACAAATGGATGACAAGTGAAAGAAAGAAAGAAAGAAAGAAAGCTTTGATGAGCAAATCTAAAACCATCTGCATGGCTCCAGAGAGCTATGGATATGTTTTGTAATTCTGGGTGAAGGGCCCCTTTTAATAGTGTTTGTCTGTAGGTCAGTGACTCAGGGACCATTTAGTGTATCACTAGCTGTCCACTGTTTGTTTTTCCTAGACTGACAACCAGTAGGGCCTTCCTCTTGCCCAGGCAGGGACCATAAACACAGTCTCACACACACACACTCTACTTGGTTTTAACTGAGACCCCACTAGAGAAGTGAGGAGGAAAGGTGGAGTGAGAGAGACAGGAGATAAACAAACTCCAATAAAACCAGCAAGCTTGCATGCCTTCTGTCACTCTGTGGCTTCTGTTGCTTTCCAGGAAATAGCACTGTTGTTGTACATATACGCACGTCAGTAAAAAACACGGAAAACTTTTATTTTTTTCCATAGCCCAAAAGCTGCAGGCATTCTAGCTACTCACTGTACATGTGTGATCGGTTGGGACCACTGTTTCCCTCATAGCCAGGACCAGTTTGCTTTCATTATTCTGTCAGTATTCGGTGTTAAAACAATGTCCTTTTCCACTGGGTCTCATGACTCTATGTTCGATGGCCTTTTAAATGAACAATTCCTCCATAGATTGTATCGCTGAGGAGCCTGCATTATATCAGTGATCAGTCCAAAACCTTGCTTACTTTTATTGCCTCTGCACAACTGGCCAATAACTGCATGAAGTGAAAATTACTGAATGCGTTAAAGGCGTCAGGCTGGTCTCACCCTGCATTCATAGCAATACCTATGGAAAATATTTGGTAAATATCCCACAAAATGTTTAAGACTAAAGCTAAATCATACACAGGGAGTGGAGGGGAATGGGTCCAACCAACAGAGAGCTTTCAGACATGTCAAACTGACATGTGTTGCAGGCTTTGGGAGGAAAATGCACGTTTTGATAGGATGTCATTAGAACGGTTGTGTGAACACGCCAGTCCGTCCCACAGTACTGCAAGATTTCAGCTTTCACAGCGATCTCCTGTCCAAGCACTGTTTTTGAAGTGTCAGTGGATCAGTAAATGACCCAGATGGTGTTTTCCTCTTCCATCTTAGAAGGGAGGTCTTGGAGGTGTTTGCATGGACACAACTGGCTCACATCAGGCTCACAGGGGTTGGCAATTGTGGTTTTGAGACAAATTGCTGTCAGAGCTCCATTTAAGATGAAGACGAGACTCTTGTGAGCTTGTTTGTTTCCTTCTGACTTCAGTAGTTGTGTTCCTAGCTGACTGCAGCCGTGGAGGAGGTGTGTGTTCAGTCCCCCTCTCTGGCTGTGGTTGCATTAAAACAACACATGACTGACCTTTAACCCTTTCCACCCCACTGACCCTCTGGTTGGTGAGCCATTACAAATTTGTGTTGGACAGCCAAATGCTGAATCCATTAAAAAAATAAATGTTATTGACATTTTGATGGAATAGTGCGACCAAGGAAGTATTGGGCTTAAATATTTAACTCAGGGTACTTCTCAAGTCTCTTAATTGTCGTTTCCCCGCTCCTTGATCCTCGCTTGAACCAGAAGTTGTTTCTGCGCCTCCATATTGACGGCCGTCCCAAAGCTCTAATGTAGCTCTGAGGAGCGAGGATGGAGGAGGGACCTCGGAGGAGCCATGAGCGAGGAACCAAGAGAACAGACTTCCAGGAAGTCTTTTAATGGCCGACACGCCCCCTCATTGTTCATCAGTTATGTGATTGGACGCTGCAGCCGATCGGACTGACTGACTGAGTTTAACACCAGAGTGAAGACGGATCAGAATAAACTCTAGTTTATATTTGATTAGGTTTCTGATTCAACATCTGGTTTAAATAAATGTTCATTGTAGTCTGAACAACAAAAGGACCACAAACAACTTTCTTCATTTATTAGAAATATTTGTGTTTTCATGATCTGATATTTCCCTCAATAACTTTTATTATGAATACAATTAAAGTTAGTGAGAGCTGGAGAGACGATACACTTTTTACATCATTCCTGAGTGTTTGATGAGTTTTATCATTTAAGAGAAACTATAATCATATTCTAGGTTATTTAATAATGACGTCACAATCTGAATTTCAAAACGTACAGATGCAAATAATTCATAAATAAGACGATCGCATTCTGCCGGTAGAAATCGATCCTGTGCTTATAAACAGAACACAGGACACAGTTTGTTAACTGTTATTAGTTATTCGTATTATTAGTTACTATTATTAATAGCAGTGATCATGTGAACAGACACTAACTTATCAAAAGTCTCTCCAGCTGTTAAAGCCGACTGAGAGCTGATCCAGCTGTGATCAGCTGATCCTCCGTCATCAGAAACAGACATCGCTTCACGTGACGCAACTGAGGAAAGGACGTCTCATGTCTCTTAAAACATATTTCCTCGTTTCCTCTCTCCTCGCATGGTTTCCTCCAAGCATCCATGGTGGGAGGGACTAAGACGCAAGGAAAGGACCCAAGTGAGGGAAACGAGGATGCAATTAAGAGACTTGAGAAGTACCCTTAGAGACTTGAGAAGTACCCCCTGTCAATATCATACAGCCTCAATGAAAATAGTGTGAACAATCTGATACAGAATGAGACTGTCTGTTATAACAGATTCATTACAACATTGTCATATCATCATCTTATAAGTTGATATGGCAATATTGTTAGCAAACAGTTGCTTATTGTGACGATTGATTTGGAGTGGTGTTTGTGGAGGTCACATGTTCTCTCTTTGAGCTCTGTTTGTGGTGTGTTTAGCTGCTAAATGCTGCACCATGTTCACCAGCTAGTCTCTGCTGAGAGGCTTTTTAGAGTTCCACCTGCACCGTACCAACAAGGCACTAAAGACAGTTTATAAGCTCAAGCGTAAGCGATCCTTTCAACTATCCTTATTCATTTTTTAAAATTAAAAATAGCAATTGGCTGGCTGAACAGATCAGGAACGAGTGCTGTTTGATTGCTCTAGGCTTTTTTTGTACTTTTTCCCTGATCACTCAACCAACATTCTTTTCTTAAGAAGTGTTTGCAAAATGGCAACAAGGAGAGAATCAACGTGTCTCAGAGCTGCAGTAATATCTCTTTTAAACCACTATTGTCTTCATGAATCTCCTATGAGGCGGACCTTGAGTGGACAAAACAGAAAACTTTGTTTAGTTTTTCTTTCCATGTACAGCTCTAATGTCCTCTTTTGTCCACAGACAGAGACAGACAGAGGCTCTAAAGACACCATGTCCACCGGTATCATGAGTCAACCTCGCAAGCCGGAGAGGAAAGGCAGTTTCTTCAAGGTAGGTGCCACTCAAAGAGGTATACGTTGGAAGGGGGGGGGGGTACTGAGAAGATGAAAGAGCAGGAGACGGCTTCATCATCTCTGCTTGTTCTGGTAAAGCTCACTTTCTCTCAGATTGCTTAACAGTTTTCTGTTTATTTTAAAGGAAGACGTAACCTTGAGCGGTACCTTATGAGATGCTACTGAAACTCCCCACAGCAAGATAGATGGCAAGATAGATGGCTTTAAACGTGCAAGACGTTATATATATATATTATAATATATTTACTGTACTAATTAAGTTGTTAGAATTGTACATATGTAATGTAGTGCTGGGCAAGTTAACGCGATAATAACACGTTAACGCATTAATTAATTAACGCCGACAATTATATTATCTCGCGTTAACGCAGTTTTCTTTTTATTATTATTATTATTAAGTGGACATTTTTAACACAAAAATCGGGCAGCGAGTGGTGAACAGCTGTGTTTGTGTGCCTCTTGTGTTGCATCTCTTACACACATGAAGATAAAGTTGAACACCGGCTGAATATATTTATGATCAGAATCATTATAACTGTGTTATAACTGCTACTGTGTAAAGGGAATACTGCTGCTAACAAGAACCTGATGTGTTTAAAGTGTTAACAAACCAAATGTTATTGACCTTTTGTTCATATAGCAGTACTTTAAAATAAAAGTGCGCAATACATTACTTTTGAATTCATTATTGAACTTTGCGCATAACAATGCAATTAATCGCAAAAAAATCATGCGATTAAAAATTGTAATCGTTGCCCAGCACTAGTAATATATTATGATTGATACCAGTTATGGATTCAGAGATAGTTTACCAGTGAGGGCAGCTCTCCAGCCTATTTCTTCCTGTTAATTCTGATATTCCAAACATATACTTTCCTCATGAGGATGATGTTATTAGTTAACGGTGGTTTTATTTGAATGCAGTGGGCACTTGATTTTCTGCACAGTGCCACTGTATCCTATCTCGTGTCAGCACCAGTCTCCTTGTCAAATACGGCCTCAGTTTCCTTGTAAATGTTACCGTAAATTTCCCGCAAGAGCTGTAGCATTTATTTTTTTGCCTTAATTTGACAGTATAGCTGAAGACTATACTGGACTATGGACTAAGGTGTAGAGAGGGCTGCTGCTGTAGAGACTCAGCGGAACCACCATGTCCATACTCTAAATATCTGCTGTGGTAAATGTGTTCAATCGTGTTTCTCAGCCAAACCTGTTGCTTGCAGACATTGATCTCAAACACTCGTGTTTTTTTGTAGTTTTTCAATTTGTATTTCAAATTCCTTCCAGCATACTGATAATACAATATAATATATATATATAATATAATTTACCCTGCATCTGAATCATGCCAATAAAGCCTTTTGAATTTACAAAAAAGTTCCGATGAAATCAAAAGCAAGTCCAATCCTTAAAATCCAATACACTCTGATTTTTTTTTTTATTCTTCAGTCCGTGTCAGGGACTCAATTTAGAAGATGCTCCTGGCATTTGAAATGTTTGAGATTGTGATTCTCAAATGAGCCTTTGACAAATCAAATGAGTCAACGTTTGTGATTTCCTTTGAAACAGCGGAGGGAATTGTTTCCTGATGTAACTCAACAGAGACATTGCCCAACTAGACAGATAACTGAGAAATGAAACAAAACAAATGAGATTCAATCTAAATTCCAAGGAAATAACTGCGTACTGTCTTCCTATGAAACAAAAGCTATCAGAACTTGTTCTTTCTCGTTCAGCTCACTGAGATTACACCCTGTAATATTTCTTTATTTTACGGAAATTGTTGCAGTCAGCGCTAACTTCATCGACAAATACATTTCCTGTAAAAAAAGCCAACCACCCGCAGGAATAATAAGACCTATATAAGTAGATCATTTAAATATTATATATACAGTATATATATATGCATTGTAATCTATAAAATGAGCCACAACCCAAATCCCTTTGGATCTCCAGTCCTCTATTTACTTCTGTTAAGCATTTATTTGTCTTTTTTTGCAAAATATATGTTGCAATAGATTTTCCCGCATTTCTTATTGTCTTTTACTCATATGCATATGCATCAGATTTTCTACTGAGCAATCTGTATGTTTTGTTCCACTGGAGTGTTATGAGGTAGTATGACATTATTTCTGTATATGGTAGAAAGCCACTATCAAAATCATAACATAGTAAAAAGTCTATTCCATCTTTTGTTTTTTTCAAATCAAAAAAGCCAACCGAATGAAATATATTTTAATATTTACCATAAACACTAGCACAAAAACATATGAAGTGTAATACTTGTTTGATGGGCCCACTCAGTAACGAAACATTTAGATAGAGCTCCAATGTCCCATGAATCCTTTTTCCACCTATCACAGTCATACGCCATCTTTAGTCATGAATGATGTCAACAAGCATTTGAATAACACCAGATCTGATACTTTCATCTTGAAGTCTTTGATCCGGAGACATGACCGCATTCTGTATCTTTCTTTCTCTTTCTCTATTTTTAAGTTTGCTGTTCTCTTTGCATTGTTGCTTGTTTTGTTTCACCAGGTCAATGCTTTCTTTTTGCAGTCTTTCACCTCTTCTCTAAGCTAGCAATCATCCGCTCTCTTTTCAAGCTTCAGTATATCCTCTAAAATGGTCTCATGAGAGACGTCAGCACTTTCACCTCTCAGCCTGGACTTAACCTTCTTTTCAACACGCTTCTTTCTTGGTCTCCTCTGTGCACTCTTTTTCTAGCAGAGCCGTATCCATTCCACAGTCTTCCTCCACTACTTCTCGACCACTTTCTTTTCTTCAAACATTAGGCAAAGTTTCTCGTCCTTTGAGGACCATTTTTAATTTGTCAGGCTTAATCAGCTTTTGTGTATTAATCTTGACACTCTATAGTGGAAATCAATCAATTTCAGACCAAACTTTGGGACCAGAAGGTGACTTGCTGAGGTTGGGGCATGCTCCCAGTGACACCAGATGAAGAAATAGTGACTAATTTTCTCTTTTTGGTTTCTTTCATTTCTGAGAACCTGACTTGATGACCTGCCATTTTTTTAAATGTATAATTATTTCACAAGTTTACTGTTGAAGTGGTTTGTTAAAGGGGCAATTTATAACATTCACAATGATATTGTCAGCACGTTTGCCATAGTTTGTTGTTTTTACTCATTGATTCTTTTCATGGTCTGGTTTGTGTATGCATTAAATGTAAAATATGTATTACTGGGCTTATTTAGTTACCTTCGAACAAAACCAGGCTCGCTGTTTTCCTCCCGTCTCCAGTCTTTATGCTAAGCCAATATTTACAGCTTCTGACTGTAGCTTCATATTTAACATGCAAACATTCCCCACAACTATCTTGAACTGTTCCTTTAAGGGGACTCTCACTTTACTTTAAGCTAAAACAAAAAAAAAGGCTAAGAACCTCAAAAACATTGTTGATATGACATTTAAAAGTGACTTTTCAGTAAACAGTTTAAAGAACAGCTGAATAGCAGATCATTTGCAACATGTGAAATAGAAACCTCAGTGGGTTATGTTATTTAAACTTGAAGATTTTGTGTTCGGTGCCAAACCAAATGTAAGGACTTGGTTTGAAATGAATGACGGCCAATAAAACTTGAAGCTACATTTGAGTGAATTAAACAATATGAGGAACATTGGTCTTACCATAAAGGTGCTAATTTTGAGCTTCAGAGCATATCTAGTGCCTCCACACGGCTCTCAACATGGAGACTGCCGAGTTGGCGGGTCGCAGCTAACAGCTCTTACAACGGCAGCAGTGCTGACAGAGCGAAAAGGGTTTACAAAGTTACAATGTGTCCTATCATTTATATGCAGATGATATCCAAATCCATCTGTCATTCAAACCCAGTGAGGCTCTCGCATTAACTAGGCTCCTGGACTGTGTCAATGCCATCAGAGACTGGACGGCAGAAAACTGCTTACAACTCAACGACAATAAGACGGAGGTTCTAGTTATTGCGCCAGATGAGTTTGTCCCTACGATCAGGCAGAGTATTGGTCCACTCTCCACTGCTGCCCAGTTATTTTTGATCGATCCATGTCGTTTGACCCCCATGTTAAGCAGCTGTCCAGATCCTGTTTCTTCAGCCTAAGAAATATCAGTAAACTGAGATCTGTAGTATCAACAGCGGAACTAGAGGTGATCATACACACATTCATCTCTTCACGCATTGACTACTGTAACACTCTTTTCTCATCACTCAGTGTAGCTGCTCTTAACTGTTTGCAGGTAATCCAAAACGCTGCCTCCAGATTACTCACCAGGACAAATCGACGGTCTCACATCACCCCCGTACTCAGATCTCTCCACTGGCTCCTTGTAGCATTTAGGATACACTTTAAAATTCTCCCTCTCAGAACCGTTTATTGCCATGGTATGTTGAACATACAAGGAATTTGGCATGACGGGAGGTGCAAACATTTAACAATCAACAACAATCAGTGCAAGTAGAAACATATAAAAATTTACAGAGATATAAAATAAAGTAAGATATGAAATAAATGAAATATGAAATAAAGATGAGCAATGCAGATTCCGTCCCGGCCGTGGAACAGTGGACCAGCTCTTTACCCTTGCAAGACTACTGGAGGGGTTCTTGGAGTTTGCCCAACCAGTCTACATGTGCTTTGTGGACTTGGAGAAGGCTTTTGACCGGGTCCCTCGGGGGTTCTTGTGGGGGGTGCTGCGGGAGTATGGGGTGCCGGACCCGTTACAACGGGCGATCCGGTCTCTGTATGACTGCAGTAGGAGCTGTGTCCGCATTCTCGGCAATAAGTCAGACACGTTCCCGGTGGGTGTTGGCCTCCGCCAGGGCTGCCCTTTGTCACTGGTCCTGTTCGTGACTTTCATGGACAGGATATCTAGGCGCAGCCTGGGGGAGGAGAACGTCAGGTTCGGGGGTCTCGGGATCACCTCTCTGCTGTTTGCAGATAATGTGGTCCTGTTAGCCTCCTCGGATCATGACCTCCAGCATTCACTAGGGCGGTTTGCAACCGAGTGTGAAGCGGCGGGAATGAGAGTTAGCACCTCCAAATCTGAGGCCATGTTGCTCTGCTGGAAACCGGTGGATTGCTCCCTCCAGGTGGCGACGGAGTGCCTACCTCAAGCGAAGGAGTTCAAGTATCTCGGGGTCTTGTTCACGAGTGAGGGTAAGATGGAGCGGGAGATCGACACGCGGATCAGTGCGGCTGCAGCTGTAAAGGAGGCGCTGCACCGGACCGTCTTGGTGAAGAGGGAGCTGAGCCGGAAGGCAAAGTGAAATCTAAAAATAAAGTGCACAAATGAACAGATGACAGAACTATAAACAAGTGAGATGTAGGTGTAATGTAATGTAAAATTGTCGGGTGTAATAGAAGGGATGCAGGGGAGTGACCGGTGGGAATTTGTCCTGGGGATGACAGAGTCAGTGGGGGTAACAGAGCCCGACTGCGGATGGAAAGAAGCTGTTCATGTGGCGTGAGGTCTTGGTCCTGATGGACCTCAGCCTCCTACCAGATGGAAGGGACACGAACAGTTTTTGTCCAGGGTGAGAGGGGTCGGCTACAATGTTTCTTGCTCGCTTCAGAGTCCTTGAAGCGAACAAGTCCTGGAGGGACGGCAGATTGCAGCCAATCACCCTCTCGGCAGAGCGAATGATGCGCTGCAGCCTGCCCTTGGCAGTGGCTGCAGCGTACCAGACCGTGATGGAGGAGCAGAGGATGGACTCAATGATGGCTGTGTAGAAATGCACCATCATTGTCTTTGGCAGGTTGAATTTCTTCAGCTGCCTCAGGAAGTACATCCTCTGCTGAGCCTTCTTTGTGATGGAGCTGATGTTCAGCTCCCACTTGAGGTCCTGGGATATGATGGAGCCCAGGAAGCGGAAGGAGTCCACCGCGTCGATTTCATTTACAGAGCACTACACGGTCAGGCTCCTACATATGTAGCTGATCTACTTCACCCCTATTCACCTGCCCGCGCTCTCAGGTCAAACACTTTAGGTCTTCTGTCTGTCCCACACACTCGCCTTAAGACCCGTGGTGACCGAGCCTTTGAGGCAGTAGCACCGAGGCTGTGGAATGCTCTGCCTGCACCCTACGCTTTGCTGTTTCTGTGAACTCATTCAGAAACGAGCTCAAAACTCACCTCTTTAGAGTGGTGTTTGGGTAAAACCCATGTCCTAGACCTGCTTTTAAACTATGTTTTAATTTTGTATTTTCTGTGTGTATATAAATTATTGGCCCTATGGTCACATTGTGTTTTTTATGTTTGTAATTCTGCCCTGTTAAGCACTTTGTGACTTATGTCTGTAAAAAGCACTTTATAAATAAATTGTACCTACTTACTTACTTACTTACCTGGGAGGAACCAGAGGGGTGGGGGGGGTGCAACCATTGCAGCCATGAGCTAGCAAGCGGGGCCCGCTCACATGCACTAAAGCGCGCAGGTGGCCGGCCTGGCGCTGTCAACAAAGCATAGCGGAGCTGGGATTACAACGCACACCGAAGGAAAGCCACTCCACTGTGCTCAGGTCCACATTACTCCACTCTATCTTTACAGAGCAGATAGTGGTTTGCTGCTATATTAATGCTCTGAATGTCGTATAGAAGACCTTTAAGTAGTTTCTCTGTATCGCTAAATGAGCTGACTTATTCATGTCTCCTGGGACAAACAGTTTCATACATGAAGGTTCATTCACAAATAGGCTTTTAGGAATTATTTTCTTGCCAGTGTTCCTCTTTAGTAACTCTGGTTGGTCAATGGGAAGTGGTTAGGCTGAGGGGAGATTGTCTCTCTCTCTCACACACACACACACACACACACACACACACACACACAAAACTTAAAGTTTGCAGAAATGAGAGCCAGTTCAAAAGTAGAAACGCCTGAACACATCGCCTGAAAGCACCTCCACAGACAGATGTGTTGTTAGTATTTTTAACTGATCTCTGAGCTGTTATCATTCCTCAAAATGAACGTGATGTTCCTCTTGTCTTCTTTGTAGTTGATCGACTCATTTGCCTGGGAAATCGGTACACTGAAGAAGGAAATGGGGAAAAAGAAAGAGCCTGAAGAAGACCACAAGACAGATCCACTCCTTGGGTGAGCTCAGTGTGTCTGCACCGAGTACAGTTTTCTGTGTGTGTACATACAGTACATAGTTTTCTGTGTCCTAGCCAGCATTACCATTTGATTTAATGCAGTGCTGTTCCCCATGACCACCAGCAGAGAGCACTCTTTAAAGCCCTTAAACGTTGTAACGTGTGAAATGTGATAGCTTTGTGTCAGTATGCGGCCGTCACCGAGCTATGTCAGGTATCAGCAGATAGCGTGACAAACTGATAAGACTGTTGTGCAGTGGGTGTGTTCTGATGTCGGCAGATTATTATACCAGTAGTAATAAAACAATGTAAACAAGTACATTTACTTCTACTATATTTCAGAGGGAAATGATTATTATTATTACTACATTTATTTACAGCTATAGTTAAAAGTAGTTTTTCACATAAAAACATGCAGACGGTTCCAAAATATGATGTACTGTTATTGGCACAACCACCCAACGGTATAAAGCATTAAAGAATTAGCTCCACCCCAACCTACTACACCAGTAGCAATAATCTAGTGATATAATATCTAATAGTATAACACTCACAGGAACAGTTTTGGGGCTTTCAAAAGAAAGTAATATATTAGAATTTTATTTTATTTTACTAACGCGCCTGTGTGTGTTTGTGTGTGATCTAGCTACGGCTTGGACGGATTTCAAAATTTACCAGGAACTTCAGAATTTCCTTTGAACACAAAAATGAGCCATTGCTGCAGGGATATTATCACTGCAGCAATGCACTTCATCCAAAGTTTCTTAAAGTGAGACTGAAGACGGAGCATTACTGTTATTGAGCTGCTTACAAATATGATTTGGCGTGACGGCTCATTGGATCAAGTCGGACCGAGTGTGTTCAGTGGGTGTTGAGTCATTCCGTTAGAAATCAATAACTTTCTGACCACACCCCTTTTCATTTGAACACTTTTTTCACGCATGTTAACTTATAAGACAGAGTGACAAAGACAGAGCTCAAAGTTAACTGAGCATCCTAAAGACACATTAAACATTCACACACCGCAGGAACAACTACGGGAGCAATTTGGGGTTAAGTGTCCCACACATCGACATGGACTAGCAGCGGGGATCGGACTCTGATTGAAGGACCACCCTGTCATACCACTGAGCCACAGTCGGCCCTCCCAACAAACATCTCCTGAAGTGTTCTTGTAGCGCCCACTATCGGTTGATTGTCTATTTTGTTGGAAATATACTTTATATGGTGAGTCCAAGGTTTGTAGGTTCAAATAATCGTAAAGTCTGTCACCAGCTTTACAGAGATTTCATTTTCTGTTTTATTTCAACTTTATTGAGACAAGTAATCTCACTGAGACACAGGGTCTCATTGCCAAAAATAAGCGAATTATTGATGGAGATATTCCAGTCACACGTCGGTTAGTGTGACATCTGGTTGACAGTTGCCGCACCATTCAGTGGCGATATAAGAAACTACATCACAGGGATTGAACTTTTCCTATTTGTCTTATTTTTGTTTTCAGACTGGGCGAAGAGGTGGGAGGTCTCTTCCTACAGGCATCCCCTTGTGCTGGGATCGGAGCCAGAGACTCGGGCTACGACTCCCTCCATCGGCGGCTCAGTGTTCTGGACAGACTGGTGCTAACACACGGCGTGTGGCTGCAGCTGGGCCTCAGCCAACAGGACGCCACGCGTGTGCTGCAGAGCCAACCCACCGGGGTAAAAGGACCAGCAGCCACTGGGACTCCTCGAGTCCACACTGTTGACTTAAAGTGTTCACTTAACCCACGCAGACAGGCAGAAACAATAGCTTCAACACCTCCTCAGTCTAATGCAATACGATACACCACAAACTACAGCCTACAAAATGATACCAATCAATTCATCCTCAACACAGTCCAACAACAGTGTTTTAGGTACTCTGAAAGTATGAGACACACTTGATCACCTGGAAACAAGTTTGTCGATAATTTATTATATATCTCTATTTGGCATTTCTTTTTCTCAACCGGAAAATCTCTTTTCTCTTTGTAATCCAGACATACAGTCACAAGTGTTGAGAATTATTGTACTTAACATAATGACATCACCTCTTTTGCAACATAATCTGCTTCATCAGGAGTTTGTGGTTTGATCTCCACAACTGTGATCTCATCGGGATTCAAATATTGCTCAAAACCCGATAAAGTAGCTGCCCTCTTTAGAATATTAAGAAGTGCACAGACGACAACACAGACGACATTTATCTCTCAAAAGACAGTCAGCAGAACTCCATGAAGAATGACATAGTTGTTTGAGTAAATACTGCAGTATATCTGTTTTTGTTATGGCGTTTCCTCCTCTGGCCTGCAGACATTTGTGGTGAGGAAGTCGAGCAGCCTGCTGAGGAAAGTCATATCTGTACGCATGAACCAGGACTCTTTGGTTCCCGTCAAAGACTTCCCAGTGAAGGAGAGCCAGTACAGTAAGTGTCTGTTTTTATTGTTCCTTTGAAGTGCGTGAAGCTGCCAAACAGGTTTTGTTAGTCCTCCTCCTCTGGCAACACAAACTATTACAAAGTGGAACGATATGAACAGGTTATCAAAATGTGTGTGTTCACCTCTCCTTGGTTTGCTGTGATTTAAGGCAATAGCGAAAATGATCCTCGGCTGGAATTACCGAGCTGCTGTATTAACGTGACTTAGACTTTGCACAAAGTACTTAGTAGTCACGTTTAGTGTTTGCAGAAACCTGCAATTATCATACAAGTTTCAATTATTATGACCCACGTCTAACTACAAAGCAAGGAATCTCTGATTGTAAGTAAGTGTGTTTGTCCTTCGCATATCTCAAGAACCGCTAATCCGTTCTACTTCACACTGCTGGGGACCCAAGGACCAGCGCTGTCACAATGAGTTTACTTTAGACACGCTCTGTGCAGGGGCAGGGCTTCAGGGGGCCTTTACAGCCCGACTCTTGTTCACCTTCCTGGAGTCAACGAGCGATAAGCGGTTCTCGACAACGCTGTCAGTAGCATTCTAGGGGGCCTCATGCATCGGTTACCCCTGTGACTACCAGCAGCCCTCGTCCTTTTCGGACCTTGAAAAGTAGTCCAGGGATAAAATGACCTGAAAGATTTAGTGTTGTCTGCACAGTATTCTCATTGAGGCTGTGCTCTGGAGTTAGAGGGTTATGTCATCTTATGTGTCAGAGGCTTCCATATACTGTATCTATCTCTGTCTGTGACTTGTTTAGCTTTCTGCTCCTCCATCCACATTAATAGATCAATAAATCCTATGTTCTTTTCTTCTTTGTTCTGTTCTATCTTTAGTTACCTGAAACATGGGGGTTTCCTGAAGCTTTCAAACACACATCTCACTGCTCTGAATGTGTGTGCTGACACACAAACTGGAATTTCCAAGTGCTTACCTAGTGAGAGAATGTGTTGCAAGTGAATCACGGCCCACTGCAGCCTTTACTCTCCCTTTTTTTTGCTGACTACTGGTAAAATGTTGTAGGCTGTAGTCTTTGTTATCTCTCTTATAACCTGAAGAGGACGATACACAGGAACAAAAAACACAGTGGTCAATTCATTGATAGATGCTTCATGCTCAACCTGTTAGTTCTCGTGAGAACATATTATGTCTTCGTCAGTGGGATTGTTGTCATTTCCTTTATTCTGCAGAAGTTTGATTTGAGAAATGCACAATGGATTAAGAATGTTTAACGAAGATCGATATCTCAAGAACCCCACTTATCATTTTGAAACCTGAAAGTTGATTAAGTGTGCATGTGCACAGAGAAGTTACGTCACACTGGAAATCTGCTGGAGGAACACAGTATGCAATCTTTCATTGGCTGCAATCAGTGGCCTAGTGAACCATTCCACACAGTCCGTATTGAGAGTAGTGCATGGGACATTTGATCCTATTGTGTATGGGTTAGGGTCACCTGATCGGAGAGTAGCAGGGCTGTGTTCAGACCAACACCACTGTGAGTGAAACACTTTGATGCAGGTTGAGCTGGCTCAATATTGTAATCATACATTCCTGTTCATGCTGGACAGAACTCTGATCCCTAAGATACCTTTACAGTATCGTCAAGTCCTTTCTTTCAGTATTATAATGCACTTTATAATATAAACTTTACTCAAACCGTCTATTTCTATGCCATCAGTGCAACAAGCCTCGACTGTCACGACAGTGTATTGCTAACAAGACGCATGCATACGTCCTGCCAAGTATTTGTGTCATAATTTTTTTTTTAAAATACATCGTTGGCGCACCAATTAAAATACCAAATAAATAAATCAACAAAATACTCACCAAACTGATTAGTCATTCTTGTTGCTATTTGTTGCAATTATTTATGTGACACTCATAATACCAACTGTATTATTTTATTCTTAGGAGTTCAAATGTATTTAGGGATTATGAAGATGAATATGTTGGAGCTGTTTATAAACCAATTTAAATTTTCTTCATGATTTTCCTTTGTTGATCTGGTTGTTCTGTGCTCCTACAGCTTTCTCTCTGGTGGGATCAGGCCTGAGCTTCGCAGACCTTTTCCGTCTGGTGGCTTTCTGCTGCATCAGTAGGTGAGTTTCCTCACTCAGAATCAGTCATGATCACAGGGAGACATGCAAACCACACTGATATGTTGAATACACACATATATTACCTAAACCATTATCTAGTCTTCTATCAACATCAGAGATATTGAAACTGGAGGCATGCGAGACCTGAAGGTGATGCCCCCAGCTGGCTGACCACACCACATTCAGCATACTTTAATGGTGCCAATTTGCAAACACACTGTGAATATTTTTGTAAAATAACTAGGGCTCAAAATGTCCCATCAACTTGGTTCTTATATCTGTGGAGCACTGATACTCTCTTCCACCCATTCATATACAGATATTTGCCATGTGTTGAATATTTGGGCACAGTTTATTTTTTATAAAAAATAGGGCACAAAGAACAATACTCAAAACACATGATGTATACTGTATCTATATGAAATTAAATCTACTTAGTAACCATAATCGTACAGTCCAAAAGACTATATTAATATTAGTACTGGGCCACGATTAAAATATTTAATCGCGATTAATCGCATGGATTTTTTGCGATTAATCGCATTGTTATGACAAAGTTCAATAATTAATTCAAAAGTAGTGTATTGCACACTTTTATTTTAAAAGTACTGCTATATGAACAAAAGGGCAATAACATTTGATTTACAAACACTTTAAACACATAAGGTGCTTTTTAACAGCAGTATTCTTTGTACACCAGAGGTAGCCAACACGGTGCCCCCCCCAACACATTAATAACTGTTTTTATTAATGTGCACTGACCCTTATCAAATAAACCAATAAATAAATAAATAAACAGACCATAAAGCAGAGTTTGCTTTAAGGGCAGGGCTAATGCTATTGACGGGTTGCTACCACTATCAGAGTCACAACGTCACTTCTACGCAGTCCAAATATGGTCACATCCGTTGGTTGGTTGCAAAACGGCCATTATCCAAGATGGCGATGTCCAGGATGCTGACCTCGAGGCTTCAAAACGTCAGTCCACAAATCAATGGGTGATGTCACGACGACTATGTCCACTTCTGATATACAGTCCATGTTAGCAAAACAAAGTTGAGTTTACTGTTATGAGCTTGTTGTAGTTAACCTCAGCTCTAGATGATGATTATTTATTTCTAGGTGTGGTGCATGAGACAAACAAAACATGGACCCACAAATTCAGAGGTCAAAAACACAGCGTTGCATGCTTTAATGACTCACACTCTATTCATCTCTATTATCTGTATTAATTTGGTCAAAATACTTTGCATTGTTTTTTAAGTACCCTAAATTCCATTTCATGTACATGTCACTTTTTGGGCCTCAGGGTGTCATTTCTCACGTTAACGGTGTCAAAGTTTCACTGAGAGATGATGTCCTTCACAAATCTGTAGGTACAATTTCCAGCTTTGATCGCTCGTTTTTTGTTGAACCGAGTCTGTAACAGACCCACGGGGAGGAGAGCAACTGGCCCGTATTACCTCCGGCTATGTGGTTGAAGATGCACCACACACCCTTTCCCAACGCCGTGACTCACACACATTTTGGAATAGGCGTTCAGTCCCGCCCTCTTTCCCTTTTTCTGTTGACCAAGCCTTTCTCCCTTTCATTCGAATCGCTTCTCCTTTTCTCAGGGATGTGTTGCCCTTCACTCTGAAGCTGCCAGAAGCCATCTCCTCGGCCACAACGTCTGCTGATCTGGAGGAGGTTGCTAAACTTGGAGCAGGTTTGTTCTGGAATTTGAATGTTTTGGGAACAAGCATGCATTTTGGGGAATCTGAGAGCTAATGGCAGGCTGAAGGTGAAATACTGTATGAAGATGAAGTTTCTTCATTGTATCTGCAGCAGAAAACAGAATATATATAAAAACACAATAGATACTTCATGCTGAGAGGGTTACCTCTGCTTATAACTTATAATGTTTGCAATAACATTTTAATCACTGCAAAGAAGTCACTAAAGGTTTTGTGCAGATGTATAGCTTCACACTCTGTGTTGTCATTAGATGTGTTTATTATAAATCTTCCTTATTGCATCAACAGAGACACTTCTCCAGTCAGTTTGAATCAATCAGTGGTAAAATTGCATCAGTTTCTTTGCAGCTAAACTGATGTGTGCACTTCGCTCAGGCTCTTAGGGTTACTCCATCCCACATCTGCTGTGTGTAAAAATTGAGTTGTTTTTTTTATCCCCTGAGGCGTGACACTTGTAAAGCCACTCTCAACCACATTGCCCCCCTTTGCTCGAAGGATTAACTGGCTTGCCTGTGCTGAATGACTCACCCCCAGGGACAAAAGCCTCTTCCAGGCCCAAATCAGTGCTGCTCAGCTGGGCATGGACTCAGACGAGAGCTGGGTACCTCTGGAGCTTTTTCCTTTCCTCCCAGCTGCGGAAGAAAGAACGTTGGGCATTTACATTCATATATCTTTAACCAAAGGGGGTGAAGTCATTTTTGCCACAGAAGACTGTGGTTGTTATTATCCCAAAATCATTTTATTTATCCATTTTATTTCTTAAAAGAAACTTTATTTTGACAAATCTTCAAACTTGTACTTTTTACCTTAGTTGAGTCAAGTTTTAAAAGTCTGTAGGTTTTGGTGGATGTATCCTGTTCAGAACACAGTCAGTGACCTTTGTGTCCATTGAGGCTCGGGTGCTGTGACTCATCTCCGAGCTATCATTACTCTTGGCTGACATTTCCAGTGTCCCTCGACCTGACAGCCTGTTCAAGACTTCAGGATGACACACGATGATTCGTCTCCAATGATTGCCAGTGTGATGTCTTGAGAGGTCGGGATCAGCTTGTGAGGCGTGGGTGCATAAATGAAGACAACAAGCGGTTGTGTTCTAACTCAAAATAATATATTTAGAATCTTTAAACAAAAGGTAAACTTCGTTCCAGCCGAAAGCCGCTACAAAAACCAAACATAAGTATCTTCCGTTTTCTTCGGGTTTGTTGTCTTTAATGTAAAATAAAACTCTCTTCCTCCTTGTGCGCTCCTGTCCTCCTCTCTCCAAACATTTGCTTCCTTGTTCCCACACCAACCTCTCCCGGGTAATCAGTCCCCTCTCTTTCAGCTGGGCCGCCGCCTTGGCCCCGGCTGCCCTGCTGACTATGGGAATTGTAGTTTATTACCCCGATGCCATGATGGGTTCTAGTCCTTGCTGCAACCACCGGGAGGGGATGTATCTCCCGTTGATGACCCTCCCTCTCATGACATCACACCAGACATACACTTTCTTTCTATTTTTTTGTCAGTCTCTCTTTCTTTCATTCATTTATAAAGGGTTCCTGTTTAGCGCGCTGACACAATGGTGGATTTTGTGTCTATGAAGGTGCTTTAAGCGGCCGAGAGAAAGGCAGTTCTGACGTACATGCAAGCCACATCAATGGCTGGTAAAGAAGAGAAAAGAGCACTGTTGACTCTGACGTACCCACGGTGTCATATTACCTGTTATGTGGCTCTCCACCTGTAATCACAGTAGCGCTTAGGAGGCAGTTTGTTATCTTTGTGATGGCTTTTTGAAGGCACATCTATTTGTTATAAAGTTCAAATGACCAACCTAAAGTATGAGAAGCTGAAGTTTAACCAGTCAGAGTGCTGTTGGCCACTATAGAGCCCCCCCACACGCGGATACACTGGGATATTAGCCAGCCCTAGGTTTATTGTTAATTTGTCATAATTAGATGAAACCAGTGGCGGCTGGTGTAACATGTTCTAGGTAGGGCCATCCTTTCAATGTCAGCAAACATCCCAGAATGATTTAATACAAAAAAATTAAAGTATCAAACACGTATTACTACTTTGCAGTTAAATATTTAACATTTATTCCAACATGAAAAAAAGCAGTAAATAACACTTTGACAAACACGTCAGGACATCTTATTGTTGTCACGCTCACAGGGAATTCAGTATAATATATATATATATATATATATTCAGTATAATATATATCCTATAATAATATTCTGTATAATATAAAACACACACATAGATATGTATATCTATATCTATAAAATATAACCTAATATAATAGAACATGTTTATTTATTGAGATGCCGCTATGGACCTTGTTATAGGAGGTAAAGATCAGGAGAAGCAAGCATGAAGTGTAATTATGAATACTGATGTTAAATTAAGCTATGATGAGGTTTCACTGTTAATTTACCATCTCAATTACATGTTGATGCCTCCATGACCAAGTTAAGCAGATGAGACTGAGGCAAGGTAGGAAATTTACATATTTTTTAGGGGGCAATTTTTGCCCCCACTGACTGAAATCCAGGGGCATTTAAAAACAATTGGGGCCACTTTTTGAAACTTGTGAAATAACATTTAACCTTTGTTCAAAATAATAAATATACTTATTTAGGCTTACAGTATATGAGCAATTGTCATCATGTCAATAATAAGACTATTAGGCAGTAGTCTACAGATTCAAAGTGTTTTCTTAGATTTTTTGAACAAAAAACAAACATAAATCAGACAATCATATTCAATTTATTCTTATTTCTTTGTGGTTATTTCTTGTTATTATTACATTTTTTAAACAACTATTAACAATTATTAAGTCAACGATGCCTTGATTACATATACATCAGTCATTGTATGGAATTATTGAGAAAGATATTTTTGTAGCGCCTCAAATATTGTGATATTACCCATTTTTGTCCTGAACATCTGCATTAGTCATTGTGTGGAATTTTTGAGAAACATTTTTATAGCACCTTAAAAATTAAAAAAATGTGCCATTTGAAGGTACAAATTCAGTTCAGAGTTGTTGCTTAGTAAAATATCTTAATTGACTGTCAGTCAGGTATTATTCATTACCAGCAACCCTCAAATCAAAGAATAAAGACCCTTTACGCACAATTTAGGTGTATTTTCCCTTTTTAACTCACGAGATGCAGGTAGCATGTTTTATACTTCATGTGAATATAATTCATTTAATCTAATTTCCATTATGCAATATGTATACTTTGTTGGCGTCTTATTCTGAAAACCGGATGTTCGTCTGAAGAAACCAGATGTTGTCTCACGTTAATCTTTTCACTAACTTTCAAAGCTCGCTCTCGATCTGTGCCGTTTAAATGCGTTTAACGTTAATTTCAGCATATAGGTGCACTACAATGTAAGTATCTGCTGAGTTGACCGCAGTCTCGCACTCACAGGTCTGATTAAGAAGCGCTCCATTTATGTATTTGTTTAGAACGTTCGGTTCTTCACGCACACACAACATCAGTCAAGGCGAAAATCAAAACCATGCTATGCCAACTGGACCGGGTCATATAGGCTACGATGTTTTTGACAAGTTCATTAAATTATCATTATTATTACAGGAAAGCTCGGGGGCATTTTTTGCCCCTCTCCTAGTGATATCAGGGGCAAAATGATATTTCTTAGGGGCAGTTTTGCCCTTTGCCCTTTTGCCCTTTGCCATTTCCAACGCTGGACTGAGGACAACTACGTAGAAGAAAAGATGTTCACTTTGCCTAATATGTAGCTTGACAGAGTTCTCCATGTGTGTCCTGGTGTTCTCATGTTTCCTTACCTCCTCATCCCTCACTCCCTACCCTGGTGTTCTCATGTTTCCTTACCTCCTCATCCCTCACTCCCTAACTGTCCGTGCTGGATCTGTCCCCGTTGTTTTAAAAAGCTAAATAAGTTATTAGCATGACTGCATCCAGCTAGCCAAACCTGTCTGGTGTTCAGCTAGTACAGAAGATGGACTGCTTCCCTTTCCCGCTAGTCTGCTGTCTGATTGTGAGGTCAGGCTGATCTGGGATCAGCTCTTTCACTTCAGTTTCTCTGCCAAAGTTCTCATCTCAAACGAGACTTAGAGGAGTAGTGCTCGCCTGTAGAGACTTCTCCTGACGAGAACGCGCAGCTTTGGGCCAAATCATTTTGGCCTAAAGCTGAATCTATTTGAGGGCGCTGATTGGCTAAATTGTATGTCACTCATTTATATCTTTAATCAGCAATTGGCTAAACTGCTTCATAGACTCGCCTCTTTTGGGCCAAATTCGTTTGGCCCTTAGCTGCGCCTTCTGAGATGTGTCGTGCACACAGGCGGAGAGGACGAGCAGGAAAAGCATATATTTTGCACATATTACTGGGTACATTCCATAGTTCAAAAACACAAATATTGACAATTTGTATAATTTATTATGATCATAATTTTATTTTTTTGCTCAAGGTGGGGCCAGGCCCCATGGCCCTCTATTGGCCAGCCGCCACTGGATTAAACCCAAATGAAACTGAAATATTAGCTATGAAGTTGATTTTGACAGAGGTGATGCAGTACAATGGTAGCAGGGCTGATACTGACCTTATTTAAGTGGATCAGGTATCAGCCAGATGTGACTGATCCACATAAAATACAATTTCTTTGTCAATGTCGTTATTCTGGGTCACTGTAGGCTGCCAACAGTTTTTTGTAGTTGTATTTTTACTGAACAGGTGGGTGGTACATTTTTGCTACTTTGATATTTTTCTTTCTAAAGCTAGATCAGCAATGTGGCTTTAATTAAGTAGCATAACAGAGGCAAGAACATGTGTCAAATTACTGCAACCTCAACAACAGAATAAACTTTCCTTGAGGCATAGTCTTTCAAAAAGTGAACTGGGAATCTTCAAATAACTAGAATTATATTGTCTCCATGATGGTTACTAGATGCAGTTGAAAGCTGCAGAAGAAGCTGTAAGTGGAGTTTGAGATTATTTGTTAAACTACTGTTTCCAAGAATGACGTTTCACTCCAGCTTCATTTCTTTTTTTTTTGCATTGTGAAAAGGTTAGAGAAACAGGTTTGGATCCAAGTATTATCCTCTGCAGCTACAGTAGAAGTTCCTGTGAACAAGGCAGGGATCAATAAGATCTACTTTACTTTGCTCTGCTGCAGGTTTGCTTCATCTCCTAGAAGTCAGGAGTCAAACATCTTCTGAACTATTTGCACAGGCATTTACAAAGATAATCCACCACTTCAATATGAACTATTGGCATAGAGTTACACAGGTGGACGTGTGAAGAATATTAAACTTGACAAGTGCCTCTTTTATAGTCATGTTGAACAATATGCTAAATACTGTACAGTGTGTTAGCTCTGTCTATTTTTGGCTGCAGTTCAGCTGTCACACGTATGTCGCTACAAGCCGCTCTTGTTAACCTTGAACTTTCCCAGTGTTTGTACCAACAATAGGAAACAGTGTTCCTTTCAGTCGCTGGTGTGCAAGTATACGTGTTTACACACTGGACGGCAGCCTGTGTGTAACTGAATCATCCAAACCATTCCACGAAATCAGAGGTATCAGGAAAAACGAATTATGAAATATCTGTAACACATGTCGGACCATGCAACTTCAATGGAAAAGGAGGGAGGGAGGGAGAAAGGGAGGCGGGAATACTACGCCTACAGCCCGCCCACACTCCCATTAACAGGAGTGAGTCAGAACACAGATTGAGCATGAGTGAGCCAGAGTAGTTAGTCCAGTTTCAGCTTGTTCAGACGCAGCGGTTCTGTCCTCTGCTAACGCTATCAGCACTGTGAAGAGAAGTTGGAGCGCCTGAGATCAACTGCTCGTCTGTGTGTCTTTGAGCTTTGGGATCACAGTGAGTCCTTTTCTGCTCTGTTGGGTGTGTGAACGAGCTGCTCTGTGTCTGGTACTGGTGTTCCTTATGCCATATTGTTCCCACTGTTGTTCGTCTGTCTTGTTTTGCTCTGTCTGGTACAGCTTGGACTAAAGGTTCCAACAAATACTTGTGTTACAGTAGTTTGAGAGTTTTTGTCCCCTGACAGGCTGAGCCTCCCAGTCTGTAGTGATTTTGCACGAGGCAGCATTTAGAGGTTTGAGATTGTTATAATTGCAGGACTTGTATTGAGTCATTCGGAGAGGATATGTATCTTTCAGTATATATTGTTTTTAGATGCCACGCACTGTTGCATAGCACAGCTTAGTTTGAGTCAATCCTTGCTGTTGGAGTCTAACGTTTGCATATGCTTATA